CCCCACCTTCCCCCCTCTTCCTCTTCTCCCAAGCTACTCATGCCACCTGGTTTGTCAAATCTTCTCCCGCGTTTCTCACGCTACCTATTTCTCATCATCTTTCTCCTCTGTTAGCTTGCGGTAAACACATTTTCTGCAATATATGTGAACACCTTGTTTGTTGGATTTGTGATATTAGATTTGAAAATGTTTGTTAGGTGGTATGGATGTGTGGATTGGATGTGAATGCTACAGTTCTTTGGTGGCCCGATTTTTGGTTTGGCTAGCTGCAAGAAAAAAAAAATTCATTCTTGCCTGGGGATAACAACAATCTGATGTTGAATATTTTTAAGTTAGGGTCTATATTGGTTGTGGCATGATCATTATGTGAATACACATCATTTGGGTGGTTTGCATGAAGATCTAACAAAAAAATGTAATTTGGTATATTTGGTACGCACTGTTATGTGATGTCTTTATCTTATTTTTTATACTATTTTGAAGTAATTTTTTTGCTTCTCAAGTATTAAGCATTATGCTATGACAGTTCTGTTTTAAACAGCATTACCGCATAGGGGCAGAATGGTCATTTATCCAGAAATAGCTGCCAAACAGCTGCTTTTAAACTGTAAAAACAAACAGACAGCTAGCTTTCCAGCGTTAAAAGTATGCAAACCAGACTCAAGTAAAACACACCATAATGCATAGCTGAAATAATTAAGGAATTCCTGAACATGCTCACGTGAGCCATCAACAACAAGAAGAAGCTCAAAGATGCCTAGAAATACACCAAACAATACAATCAAGCACCTTAATTCCTACATATTCGCACAAGGCCAAAACTTTGTTATTCACATCACCACCACCTAAATTTTCATACCATGTCAAAGATACTACAAATATAACTTCCCATGCATAAGTAAAGTGGTATGTATGTAAAAAGATAATGAAGTCTAGTTGTTTGATATGTAAACTCAGAGAAATTGTATGATATGCATCTAAATTTCCCAAATGTTGAAATGACAGTAGCACAAGGTAGCAATCATTTGTACACGTAAGATGAAGGATCATTGGCAATTTCCTTGAGAAAATACAAGAGTATTTGAACAAGTTCTAAAAAAATTTAATGTGTTGTTCTCGTACCAGATTTTGAACACCAAAATTATAGGATTATATATGGGCAAAATTTCCTTAACATTCAAACAAATGTAAGGGATTGTCCAGTTGACAGGTTCTCAATAGAATTTTAACAAGGTTTAAGGGAAAATAAAATTGCAATAGATGAAAAATATGCACATATAGATATCAAACAAATGTCTTTTAACAGATCTTGCAAATTTTAGATGGTTACAAACCATTTCAACCGAATCCCAGTCATGAATGGCTAGAACCAAAAATCTTTCACAATCCTTTCCCAAATCAGATTCGTGCATTTTGATATGATCACATAAATCACAAATAGGCATCAAAGCATTCTTTCTAAACATAAATATCATTTGAAACATATAATTCAAAACATGCATTTCAAGCCCTAGAAAACTGAAAGATGAAATTCAAGCTGATCATAAATGGTCCTGATTGAACACCCTCTAGCATTAATTTCAATGAATTGTAATTTACAATTATTGAAAGAGACCAAGAACACCATGCTTGATGACTCTAAAGAGTAATCTAAAAGAAAAGCTAGCATCTTCTAAATCAATTAATGAGAAGATATGCTGTGATTCAAACACTCAAAGTAAAAAAAATCATCCACAAAATATAAATCAAGAAAGCCAAAGTAAAGGATTAAGGATCCGAACCCACAGCAATCCAAACCCTAACGCATGCGATTCACACACATTAGAGATGTATAAAAGGATCTGTGAACAATTATGTTTAATAGAATAAGGAAATATGGCTTCGGGTTTACCAGGTATTGTGGTTTCTTGCGGTTTGATCGGAGAAGAAAGAAACCTTGCAGCTCCAATGATCGGAGGAAGAAGAAGAGCCTTACTGGCTTACAAAACCGAAGGAGGAAAAGATCCTCACAGCCCGAACGACAGAAGGGAGGACAAAAATCTTCCCTCGCAGCTCAAAAGATCGGGGAAGAAGACAGAAGTCTTGCAAACGAGAGAAGGAGGCCAAGCCAACAATATGGATAGGGGTTAGCAGTCAGTCGATTCGGCTGAGGGTCTATAAAAGTGAAAAATAAAAAAGTGGCGGGGTGAATCCTGGTGCCATTCCACTAATTTTGTTTTAAAATATATCTTTATGATATTAATAATTTGTGTTGAAATATATCACTTTATATGTGTGTTCTTTTTGTTTGAAAAGTTGCATTAGCAAACTATTTAGTTAAACCTGCATAAAGCAAATAGCATCATAGCATGGGGAATCATACCAATCATATTGAGTCAAATCAAGGAAATAATTTGTATTAGTTTAGTGCTTTGTGTAAGTATCTCTTTTTTTTCTCTTAAAATTATTTTAATAGCGAGATGATGATGCTTCCTTCTCTTGATGTATTTGACTTTTTGAAATTAGTTTAGTATTGTTTAAAACTTTACCTTAAAGACTTAATTAATTTTATTGTTCTTGGCTTGCAAATTGAAGTATAAGATCATTGAAAATATATGTTTATACCTTAATGACCTTAGTGATATTTTTTAAAAAAGTTAGGACTAACTGAATATGAGTAACTCTGAAGAGGTTGTGAGCAATGACAACAAATGATAAATGTAACAATACAATTGTTCATAAAAAACTAAACCATGCAAATATGAAAAATGATATTTTAAGAGATCATGAATCGTCAAATGTCAGTTACATACAATATCTCAGATACGCTTAACAAATAAGAGAAAACAAACAAAATATTGGTATTACTTCATCACTAATCTATAGACTTAAAATGATCATACAAATGTTTTTTTCTTTGAAAATAATTTGTTTAATGTTAAACATTCTGTAGTGATGAAGAAATTTCTAAAACAAAAGTCGATATGTGGTGGCCCCGGTTCAAACCCATAGCCTGATCAGAAAATTTCCATCCATACCAGAAAACAAAAAAGTGCCACTAGATTGCCAAAATGGACTCAAGAACACAAAAA